CAAAAAAAAACTAAAATACAAAAAAAAAATAAACCGGGCTTTAAAAAAGAAAATGATTTTAAAAAAAAATTGGTAGCCATTCTTACCCCCCCCCCCCAAAAAAAAAAAAAAAAAAAGGATGTAAACAAACAAGCAATCCTCTCACAATCCTCACGAAATGAAGGTGTGTCCAGACCAGTAAAATTTAACATTAATAAAAATGAAAATTTATTCGATCTGAGTCGCGGGCTTGGGCGAGCGACTCGTAACAAGTGTCAATAGAAGTTTATATCTCTTATCTAACGTTAATCTTTTTCTTATCTTATCTTCTTTAATTATAGTAAAGTCACAATAAAGATATAAGTCTGTCACGCCAAGGTAGGTATAAAACCAGGCTACGACCTGACAATAAAGGAGTTTTGATTTTCGTAACTAAACGGTGGTGTTGCATTACTCTTCTCTTCGGGCATAATCCAAGTCGGGGATCGCGTACCGTACCTAGAATCTTCCAGCGTAGGATTAGAGCCCCTAGCGTCTAGATTATACCCGCGGTATATCTACGAACTTAGTACAAATCGTGAAAAGAACCCTCAGCTTGATTTCTAACCACTCATTTGGTAATTCCAACGAGAGAGAGAGAGGGAGAGAGGAACCATTTCTTACTAGTAATATGCGTATGATTGCCGATATACTGGCCCATGAATAATAGCTCTGCTTGGGTTTCAAAATCTACCAGATTGCCACCATCATTAGCACAGATCCCTCGCGCCATATCCCAAGTAAGTTCAGTCATATATAACTTGTAACAGGAAGACCTGTGTCGAAAGTTGTAACCCGCGGGACAAGGTCGATAATTGTTCACACAGACTGGAACATTGTCGTCTACTAAGTGGGAATCAGGGAAGCACAGGCGCCTGTTATTCGGTCGCTTGCACATATACTTCCCTTCCTCATTGCAATTTAGCGATTTCCACATCCCGTGTTTATCCGGTGGATCGGATGAATCGTAAAACAACCCGGCACAGTTGTCAGCGACATCTCCAGGATTCATGTTCTCATATTTAGCGCTGTTGCCGTCAGTCCAGTGAAATAGTCCGTCAAGGCCGATGTGAAACCATTCATCAGTAGTTGGCGAACTAATGACATAGATAAAGATACACATTAGTGGACATGACTTTTTAAAGGATTGGTCAGCATAAGTATTAAATACGCTACACTCTAAAAGTCAAAGTGGCACAGAACTGTATGACTGTGTGTGTGTGTGTGTGTGTGTGTGAGAGAGAGAGAGAGAGAGAGAGAGAGAGAGAGAGATGGCGGGTCTAGGGGTCACAGAACGCCACGCCTCCCCCCATGGTCCTGAGGTACCCCTTCTCCCACTTTTCCCTCTAAAAACAAAATAACAAGCGTAACGAGAAAAAATAAGCAAGAGTTTGCACCCTCATTCCTACAGTTATATTGCCCTCGTTAGTATACCGTTTTATATTTGTCGACCGAAGCAAGGCAAAATAATATGATATACCTAGGCGACACTGGCTTCTGGGAAACGCCCGTCTCTCCATCTCCAGAAAAGTCAGACTGTTCGTGACCCGAGAAGCTTGAATTGACCGCATTTTCGATGCCTACAATAGACTGGACAAAGGCCTGTTCCTCAGCGTCAAGGATGCTCACCAGATGACCTCCTGATACGACACAGGAGGCCTCAGCAAGATCGTGTGGCAGTTTGGGAGTTTCAACCAACTTGTAACAGAATGGTGGTTGCGCCGGACTACGGGCCCATCCGTCTGGACAGCCTGTATCTGTCACGGTAAATACAATTATACGATTATCAAAAGTTTAATGTGTTGTTATTTTAATATTGGGATGGATAAAACGTTTTTGTAACATTTAATCTGTTGCAGCGTCATACATAAAAGCACATACAGGCGTCCTCGACCATCACTTCTTTCTGATTGCTTCGTTTATACATCGGAGCTTGCAATACAGTATACTCAACTAGCACATTCTTAGTATGCAGTTACGGTTTGCTATTAGCTTGTTATATGCCAGTTGAAGACAGAAAGACTAGAGGGCCTACCAATAACAGGACGCTGGTACGGTGTCCCTGAGGCTGGCACACGTGGCCTCGGTTCCACCAGTGTGGCTGCCGTGATGTGCTTCCCCTCTGACCAGTTCGGTGGCAAACTTGCCAGATACTCATCAATTACTGAAATTTGGATCAGTATTTTATATATATATATATATATATATATATATATATATATATATATATATATATATATCAAAACAAAAAATATAAATTTGAAATTATTGGTAATTATTGGTAATTATTGGTAATTTTATGGGTAAGGTAATATAATTTATGTGTTTTGTTTGTAAAACATCTTCAAAGAGGCCCTGCTGAGAATCCCGATACGATAGCGGTACTCTTTGGGGGTCACAGGATTGCATTTTCTCGAAGGTCCGCCTGTCGTGAAAGAGTCAAAAAAGTTCATGCTTCTCACTTACGTATGCAAGGAGGAAGTGTTTCCAAAAAGTTGCCCTTATCACAGGTAAGTACTTTCTTTTTCGTTCCATCTGGAAATATGTGGCCCCTTTTGCATTCTACTGTGGCGTTGTTGGAGAACGGATCGTAGTACGCGTAGGCTTGTGTTTGAACGCCATCTATTGGGCAACTATCGACTAGGCACTCTACATGAAATATGCAAAGGAAATGTGACCTTTAATTTAATTCATTTTTACATATCTAAAAAAATGAATTTTATAATAGAGGTACATGATAGACAAAACCTTAGAGCAATGATTGCCTTCAACTGCTCAGGTATAGTATAAATCGCTCAGTATATAAAGTTTTATTATCATGATAATTTTTACTTTTCATCGTCACTGTAGTGTCAATTATTTACTATATATACTTGTTTTCATAACACAAACCATTTAAACACCTAGCCTTATGATCTACCCAATGTCACAGGTACCAGTATATAACAATAAACCAAACATCTTGTATCCACAGCAGACTTAAGACTTACACGCCCACCCCGACACGCACGTCCACAATTGCACGCACGCAGGTATAGGCAAACACACCTAACACCACCAGCGCCCTATTTTCCAATCACACTTTGATGGAGCGAGACCCAGTTTCTCCCACCTTTTGGTACAGAGTAGCTGCTACTTCTCATACACACAAAATTATGGCCCGTTTCCGGCCCGATGCAAGAATAGTTGCCGGCGACAAAGTCCTCCGTTCTTCTGTAGGGCTCTACGTATGCCGTCAGTGCCGAACAGCCTAACCTGGACGACGTGAACGCGAGGGTAGGTCTCTCCATCAGGGTTGAATCCGACCAGACGGGGGCACTGCCGTTTTTACTGTAGGCGCCTAACCATACCCGCTTGTTGTATGAAAGTTTTATGGTCGAAGCTTCTCTGAAATCAATAATTCTTAACAAATAGAGAGGTAGTAGATACTAAGAAAAAAATGTATATGTATTAGTGTTACTTATCTGTACAAGGCCAACTGATTGTCTGTGTTCTAGACGTGAAAATGGAAAGACGACACACACCGAAAAGAGTGTAACTTTTTTGCTTTTCATTATTATGCAATAAGTTTACGAGTCAGGAAAAGCTCTTTCCCTCAAGGATCTTTATATTTTTTTTCTAATTCTATGTCGTGGATAGATATTAGAGTACACTTAATTTGTACCAGTAGTTAAGCGTGAAAATGCCAAAAGGCCAGTAACACATACACCGACTTTTCATTGAAACTTCACACAGAGTAAGAACGACTTATAGATCTTATTGACTTTAATTGTATCCATTGTAGTCACGTTAGTAAACGCACATCAATGACCTGTCCTTTGAAAGATTGCAGTGAAAGGATGTCAACCTAATTTGAAATCAAAACACGTCACTACAACTGATACAGACAAGCTTGTTCTAAAAGTGAAAACTAATCCATATAACCATTACCTGTTCAGTATCGTTCCCAACACGTGGTCATCCGTTGGATTTTTAGGCATGAACAGCCGTCCGCACATCTTGGCACACCGGTACACCGCCTGGTCCCAGCTTTCGGCCATAGACCGGGACACACACACCTCACCGTAGCCTGGCAACACCTCAAAGTTGGGACAGATACCTGAAATATAGACACTGAGCTAAAGTATAAATGTCACGTGTGAATTATAATGGGCTAAGGAATCTCTTATCTGTATAGCCACGGACAGTACGGACAGTAATCTGTATAGCTATGAACAGTACGGACAATAATCTGTAGCACATTTAACAACAAAATTCCCTTTTTAAGATCTAATATATAAATAACTCATAATGCTGATAATTTAAAAAAAGTATTGCGTGGGGCGTTTACATTTTTTGTTCAGTGTGTTTTACAGTGTTCTACGGGTACTATATAAATAATCATCGCATGATCGGCATCATCATATTTTTCTCGAATTTGGAAACAATATCATAAGCTGGTTTGCAATTGAACTTTTTAAATGAATGAATTGTAAAAACTACCTTTATCATTTTATTTAATTATGACACCCCTTCTAAAATAATCCCTGAATTAAAAGCCATCTATTACCCAGAAGCTAGTTAGAAGATAATTACATCACTTGATAACAATAAAATATAATCAAAAGTACAGTGTTTGACAAATAAACTGTCCTGTCGTCCACGATACATTTGTGCACAGTTGAATAGTTCGCTATGTATTTTCAAATAAACAAATAGGTTTTTATTTGTCAACCGCTGTTAATTTTTTACGTGTCTAGAAATGAGACTTCTCGTTTAATTCCTTTTTTTAAAATTTCATCTACTTAAATGAAAGGCAAAATATTGATTAAATGGATGATCATGCAATTTGTTTCAAGTAAGACTTGTTAAAACTCCTCGAACGTTTCATCTGACCTTTTCTCTGAACATTCTCCGAATTTCAGGCTTTATTAATCACTTTAAATCAGTCCATCAGGTAAATACGTACCAGTTTTTATTATTATTATTATTATTATTATTATTATTATTATTATTTTATGTAAAAACATCACAACAGTATCCCATAGTCATGTTTGACTAATTTATCATTCTTTATATAGATGGCTGAATTTGATCAACGGAATGACGTGAGCGTTATCCCTTTCCCAACAGAACAAAACAGTACAGAACATTAAAACTCAGTTAGTAATACACTCGTCTTTTTTATTTTTCATTTTAACTATTTATTTTGTCGTCTAACTTTCTTATAATAGGTACTGCCAAGATTAAAGTTTGATCCATTTTGCATATTAACGATGGATTTCTGATTCTGTAAAAAACGTGACCCACGACCGACATGGTAATCACAGCTGTGAGATAAATAGCCTCATTTTCACCGCTGTTACGGTGTGTGGTTGTTTTCATGGCAAGTGTGGAAAGTAAAGTACAAAACCTAACGTTACCTCCCATCCCCGTGGCACACGTCGTCGCAGACAGGACGACAAACGCCGCCACTGCAGTTATGATATTGAATCTGCTCATATTCATACTCCTACCGGCGGTCTCCGCAGTATTGGTCAGCACCACTGTCTTTCCCAGCGCACGGGTTTCGTCTCACTGAGGGTAAAAGGCACGACGGTCTCATTTGACGACCACACCGTGAAGACTGACATGTGTTGAAGTGACACCTGATCGACAATGACCATGTGACCAATGCCAGTCCAAAGAGAGATGACAAGATCTCCCTGCTTGACAGCCTTCAGAAATTCTCGGAAATTGGAAGGTCAAGTCCATGTCACTGTGACCTCCAAACAAATATATGAGCATAATAAGAAGATAAAAGAGCTTTCTTTTGCTTAATTTATAAATTTGAGAGAGAGAGAGAGAGAGAGAGAGAGAGAGAGAGAGAGAAACTGTAAAGATTTAACGAAAAAATATGTTTCTAAAAACAAAGACGAACAAATTGTTGAACTTGAATCTAATATTTATTGTTCTTGTTTGCATTGATTTTGGCACCTTTTATGATTTATCTGCAAGCTAGTGTCAAAAATATCGTATCCCGTTTTATGGTTTTCTTTTTCACCTTTTCCCCATTATATCACCTCTTGTATCCTATGATCGAATAAAGAAAGTATACAATTATAAGGATTCCAAGTTTTCCATTTATTCCACCTTATCCGAGCCTAGAACACACGAAACTTGTCCGAGCTAATAGCCTCCTCTGTTCCTTATAGGGTCATTTTTTTTCAACAAAAAGACGTTTTTTTTTTCAGTTGACTAACGTAGTCTACATATTGACAGACTAAGGGTGCTTTCCCAGAGATTTAGATCGATCTAGAGATTAAGATTTAGATCGACCTAACTCCCTGGGGGTTTACGCTAAATTGCAGTCAGCCGAGCGGGCACCATAGTTAATTACCCCCTTACAGCTTTTAGTAGGCGGGACAGACGCTTAAGCGGCCAAGCTGACAGTAATCTAGTGAGACTCCCCACAGGGATAGATCGTTCTAAAAATCTATGGAAATGGGGTGTAATACCCTAAGGCGATATTTTTAGGCAAATGTTAAGATTTTCTTCCAGTGCTGAGTAACGTAGTCATTATAATTCGACAAAAAGACATTTCTTTTTTTCAGTTGAGTAACGTAGTCTTAGTGTCGCCAGATAAATACCCGAAGGCGAATTTTCCTGACCAATGTTAAGATTTATCAAAACAAAAATCTGGTACAGACTTGCTAACGACCCAGACAGTTGACACTACATTGCATACACGCTAAAAGCTGTCATTACTGTCCCAAAATTATGGTCATCAAGTTAATAACATATGCTGAGATAACTATTTTATCATTTTATCATGTGAAGATGATATAAAAAAACGTTTTTTACCTGTTGCAGATACTGTAATGATCATCATATTAAATACTAAGTTAAAAAATAGTCCCTACATGTACGACCTTTTTGGTAAAGCAATAAAAGCCATGCGCAATCGTGATCCTTTTTTTCTCTTGACACAACCTTGAAGAGGAAATGACCTTAATACTGCCCGCTATCAATCATAAACAAGCAGGTGGAAGTATCATCGCTGTGTGTGTGTGCGTGTGTGTGTGTGTGTGTGTGTGTGTGTGTGTGTGTTTTCAGTGTCAGAGAAAAGCACACTGTATTTTTAATATTCTCGTCTTTACAAATGGAAGGAGGACCTCAATTATCTTGAAAAAATTACCCCCCCACCCCCACTTTTTATGTACTACTCTGGATACACTATATGCAGTAATGGACATGCCTTAGAAAATATGTACGAAATAAAGAACAACACTTCATTTTAAAGTTCGTCCTTAACATTTGAAGAAAAAGTCAATTCATATCCGTAAATTTCCTTCAGTCCCTTAGCGAACTCTTCTTTTTCATCTAGGGCGATGTCCTGGAGCATGCCGTTAATCAGGTCTTCGCGGGGGGCGTACCTGGCCCACCCCATTGCCTCTTCGTAGAATTTCACCGTCTCCGCGACGGCGCGTTTCCATGGCATCGGTTTCCATCGCAACAGATTTAATGCTTTGGAGATATTTATAGCACCTTTTGTCACGGACGGATATAAATATTGAGACGAGCCTGCCAGATATGTTAGATTGCCTAATCCCAATTCAATCGATATATCATTCAGTACTATTGGCAGAGTTAATTTTTCTTTAAATGCTAGATTGAAAACTTGGTCAGTCACACCGCTCTGGTCTTTCATGTTTATTATCTCGACGATGAGGCTTGCAACATCCTCGGAGTACACCATGCTTATTGGAATAGCAAGAAGAAAATCGGGGACGGCTACTAGCTTGTTAATGTATTGCCCGACGTTCTCAGGTCGAAAGCATTCCATTTCTTTTGTTGGGTTGTTGTGGAACTTTGGGCAGACGTCATAGACCGAGTCTGTGCTGATGTAGATGTATAATTTGACTTTATCCTGTAATATTTTCAGGGCTTGATCTACGGCGTAAGGGACGTAAGCACTGAAGTCGATCACGGCCTCGAACTGCTCTACACTTTTCACAAACCCCCCACATCCCGTGCAAAGGCCCAGGGGTTTTTCTCTGTTGCACACAAAACGTCTTACGTACGGCCGTATCGTTACAGCGGAATCCCAATACCATGTCCCTCTGTTTACTATTGCGATATCATAAAAATCGCCATTTCGTTGTAGCAACCTCCCAACTGTGGCCGAGCCCATGAAGCCATTTCCGCCGAACACCAAGACGTGTTTGTTTGGTCTGGAGCTAGAATCTCCCTCGAGATTTAAATGCATCCCATATACGTAACATTGGATAGAATTTGTGTGTTGCATCTTCCACAGTGCTTAACCCATTTGGAACAGTTTCACATCTCCTTATTGTACAACATTTTAAGGGCTTACTTTTAAATACTAAAAAAAGAACAAATATAGGTAAACTAAAGATCTTATTGTTGGGAGAACCGGACAACAAAATATGTGCAAACCAAGGAAAACTGTGATATTTCGTTCCCCTGGCTTTCATATTATGGTAAAGAGACTTCAATTTTGATTCACAGTCGTACTGGTGAGAGAAATCAGCCGTGGCGGTAAATGTTTAAATGGACGAAACTGCTTTCAAATCGGGTTTTTGATAGCGTATATACATTGTACTGCCACCTTTATGATGGTTGAAGGCAAATTTAAATATGATATTACTTATGAAATGAAATAAATTGGCAAAAAAACACATTAATTATTATTATTTCCTAAAGAATGAAGCAGCTAAAGATTACTCTTTGCAACCCCACAAACGAAATGGGTGCCAAATTGTTTGTAAATATAACCTTTGTTGACTCGTCAAATCATAAATTTTAGGATGAGGGCTCTAACTGAATTTTTGATATATATATATATAATAAAGGCAACATTTTGTTACATTGTTAAAATAAGGATATTATTATTAATCTCGAACAATACATTATTGATATTTTTGTTGCCTCTTTTCTTGTTGCGAAATGGACTATGAAAGTTTGTGGTACACTGGGATGTAAGAGAAATGAAACTGCTTTAAAAAGATCTTGCATCCCGCACACGGTGAGCAATTGGCGCGCGCCACATGCGCTGCGCCAGATGCTCGGGCTCCTCAGTTCCCCGCAAACGCTGCGCTCTTTGCTCAGCAGAGGTGCCTCCCAGCCTGCCCCTATCGGACGCACCGTGAACTGTGGGATCATGTGATTTAGGAAACATTACATATTTATTTTTTTCTGAAAGTAATGGCAAATGGTGACCACGTTAATCAATCAGACTATCTTAAACTGTGTACATTTTTGTTGACTTCGCTGGGGGCTGCCATTTTTGTTTGTTTCCGGCTACCGGCACATGCACATTGTTGGCATGATTTGAGCAATCGGCGCTTGCACCCCGCACACGCAGAGCCATTTGCCTCAAGAGGCCAAAAATATCAAACACGTGAGATATTTTGCTCAGCTGCGCGAGAGGCAAAAATCTCACCAAAATACCCCCGCAAGCGATGAGAAAACGGCGTAGCGCAAGTGGCGCGCACCAATTGCTCACCGTGTGCGGGGTACTGAACAGAGGATAACGAACAAAAACAAATTATATAAATATCTTTATATCACATTGTTGTATAATTTACGACTGTTGATGGATCCAACAAACAAACATGTGATTCGTAGTATATTCGTTGCCAAACATCGGCTCATTCGAACATTTAATCATTAATTTCCTGACAATACCAAATTCTTTTTAGATAAATTAACCAGCCTCGATCTAGAAGAATATGTCCTGCACAACAATATTGAAACAACCAACAAAAGAACGAAAACTAATCCAGTACAAGCTACAAGGAACATTAAATTGAAACTGTGTTCATTGCATTTTCCACTACCTTTGGCAGTGTCCGGTGAAAAGTGTGCCTTGTTGCCTTCATAATGGGAAAGGATTTGCGACTCCCCTGCAATACAAGGAAATGAATCCGATATTAAGAGCGAAAATGGTCAAAATTTAAAACGGGCAAAACATGCAAAAATATATTATAAATCTAGATAATCTAAACTCTACAAGACAGGGATAATATTTCGCCCCCTCAAGTTTATTAATGCCACGCTTTAAACTTAAGCTTAAGTCACTGGCAGTTTTATATCATTGGACATACATAGTATTAAACATTCCACATACGTTCTAAGTTTGATTCAGTATCTTCCTGTACACGCAAGACTGTGGTCACAGCCATCTCCACGAATCCCTTCGCTGCGGGATCGTCATCCAGTGAAGCCCGTCTTTCCGGAAGGGATAAACTCGACGCGTCGTGTTCCCCATTACTGCGTCGTTTACGACTACGTGGCTGCGTGTTATGTCCCGGACCATGGCAGTGATTCTAATATTTTGAAAACCCATTATATATTATTTAGTTGTAATGATGTAATACGTGTAATATGATGATATGGGTGATGGTGACATTGACTTATTATTTTAAGTTCCAGCTGTTATTCACATTGTTACAGATGGCATTCTGTATATAGATACGAAGGCCAATTAACTCCACAAAATTGCTTGCAAATGAACTCAGTTTTTAAGATCGACTCAACCATTAACAGAAAGAAACTGTACTGGTCTGTATTTGATTGATTTAAAGGAAAAAACAAAATATAACCAGAAGACAATTACCGTTGTGCAGTAAGTTTCCTCCGAATCCGCACATAATGCCACTAAGCATCGGAAGTAAACATCGGAATATCCAGTGAATTTAAAGGCATAGAAGGGGGCAGACATTGCTCTTGCTGAGGAATGTTCCAGCGGGGTAAATCCTTCCATTTCAGCCAGATCTCTCCCCGTACCACATCTGAACATGTTTAATGGAAATTGGTATTGATTGTATAAATTGTTAAAATCATTAAAAATTGCTGTTTAGAAATTGTACTCATTTCAAACAGCATACTTCAGTACGTGTACTTAAAAGACATTTACATCCGCAGAGAGTTTTTTTCCAGATAGTTACCTTCTAAGGTATACTACTCTTCTGATATGTATATTTTAAGTTGAAAGTGAGGTACTAATACTAGTCTGTATTATTCACATATGACGATTACTTTTCATCTAAACTATTTTGGCCTTATCACTTACAAAGGAGTTTTTTCTTCTGGAAATCCATTGCCAATGGTCATATGGTCTAAATACTTACCCATCCTCTTTAGTCAGTACACGAGATGGGCTTGGGTTTCTGAGTGAGGGATATGCTGTGCAGTTGATTACACGGATGCCCTGAAAGGCTGAAAAGGTTTCACTTTCGTTATCATGCATCCACGGAAATACTAAAAGATTCAAAAACCCGTTCCTTTGTCCTCATAATTTATTTTTAGATTTATTTGTGATTTCTCAAAACAAAAGTTAAAGAATTAAGATGCGTCCGTTAGAAATGTAACAAAGTACCATGTAAAATTCATCTTTTGGTACATGTACTATATTGAACATAAAAAATCAAAACTATAGTGGGGCATACAAAAGTGACGACAAATAATTCAAAAGGGCAGTGAATGTTTAAAACTTGCCTGCGTGTCGACGTAATGAAGCCTGGAGGTGAACCTGGTCGCCCACACGAACTGTTGGCACCAGTTCGTCCGCCATATTTTTTACGGAAAGAGTTACATGCGCACGTCCACTGTTGATTTCGCTTCCGGCTTGCCTGCTTTCTAGCGAGGGGCCACTATAAAACCGTTGATATCAACTGTTTATCTCACTTGTATTGTTTCTTTTCTTTTCATTTTTCTTTATATACACTTTAACATTTTCATTCATATCACACACATACATTGCACTGTGTAGAAGACACTAAAAAAAACTTACTGCTCTACATTAACACTACTGCCGACTACCCTTGAGTGGTCATCGGTCTGGAATACACAGCACACCCTGTAGTGGTGGTCTCCTATGCTTATAGCTCCGGCCTCCACCTGTGCTACCACATTGATACAATGCACCAGGCTGTCTTCCTCCTTTGTCTGAGCGTGGAAGTGAGAGGAAAAGTAAAAGTTAAAGAAAGTAGAAATGAATATGCCTTAACTTCTCTTAGGATAATACCTTATTGTACCTGTAGGTTTTATTTTTTTAAAACTAAAACCAATAATAATACATGTTTTGCTTAAACTATATTGCTGCCAAGTGTATTTTAGAAAAAGTTTAATATTCAATGTCTTTCCTAGAATAACCATTATCAGTATTTCAAATGCACCAACCAACTTTTGGTTGCAAATGAATACTATTGATATTATACCACTAATGGGAAAATAAATTCCCCCAAATACAAGGATGTAAAGGCATGATAATGATGAATGAAAGGGGAGTTGGTTAAATATGCAATACCTTGTTTAAATACATAATAAATAACATGCATAACGATTTAACTTACAATCGCAATTCCACATCTATTCCTTTCAGCTGCGTCATCGAGCATGACGTCTCTCCGATACTCTGTGGCATAACTGTGGAGAAATGCGCATGCGCCAGCATCTTCTCCCTCGTTATACACGGCTGACACATTTGCCCACAGAATTCTAGCGTCGTATGTCAGACTCATTATGTTACCAAATTTGCTTTTACTGCAAACAATTTCCCCTAAAGTATATCGATCGACAAATCTTGGTAAAATTACAATTTAAAGTCATAGAGTTATTCAAAAATATTTCATAAAAGAAATACACCGATATATCAAAGTGTTCGACTTAGGCCTACTACAACGTTAAGCCAAAATTAAAGTGCACACTTTTTGCTATACATACCACTGACAATGGTACACAAGAAACATTAACTTATTTACAAATTTGAATTCCAAAATGTGACAAGAGAATTGCAGAGTAAGGTAGCTGTGCTTTACTTACATGGGTCAATGTGGTAATGTGATACCTGTTAAAAAAAGGATACACAATGTTTATATAAGGATATGTTACGTCAATTGCATTGACGACTTTCCTGTAGGATTGTTTTGATAAGACTGCAGCAGACACAAATTATCACGAAATTCAGTGCCTCTAGGGGATTTCACATTTTCATAAACTGTTATATCGTAAAACTTACGAAACGGTCTTCTGTTAGATCCTCATCGATTTCCCCATCGTTATCGTCGTCTAAAAATATTCGAAAAGGATTCAGATACATGATAAAATAGCTAATCAGCAATGGTTTTATTTCCGATGGATTACTTCTACATGTGTATATGGCAATTTATATTTGCCCACAGTCAGTAATTCCCCTAATAATTTAAAGTATCCATCGTGACTTGGAGCTCCCTCTTAGAAATAAACACCTTTAGAATTATTATTTACAATCATAGTCACATGGAAATATATTCAAAGTGCCTGACTCTTATTGCCTATAGGCTATATGCTGCCATATTGTAATTTTTCTCCACTCATCTATCCCAGATAGGTCAGTTCGAGTACTCTCATATATTCCATGGAACGCCTGCCAAATCCAAATTCGTGTTTTAATTTTTATCCATCTTATGAATCACTTACCGATATGGTTGTAGACCTCCTCGTCAACAAACCCGTCACAGTCGTTGTCAACTAAATCCCCAGGCCACTGTGATACTTGGGTGACATGGCTGAAATAACGCGAACAAAACTGAATTTCTGTTTTACCAATCGTTGCAGTCACAGCAAAACCTTCGGTGGGGCTACCTCAAAACAAATGAGTGCATGTTGCAGTCAAACCTAAAACTATGTTATAGATGCAACACGATTCAGCTAAGTGTTTCCACACATACATGCATCATTCTGAGCTAGGGGTGTTATATACCTGTATGACGTTTACACAATGTCCCATTCATAAGCAGTATGAGGCATGCGTGTATGCAAAACGTTAGGTTGCTACATATTTTCGACATCCGCTAGTTGTAATTTATCTACAAGTGTTATAATTATAATAAGGTAACAAGGAACTTTTCTTATAACCCAAATAATGGGAACAGGTATACTTACATGCGTTATAGTATACAACGCCCCAGCAGGGAAAGCATGCCCGACGTTATCTCCATAACCATACACAGAGACTAGAACTCCTTCCTGTGGCTGATCATTACTTATATAATGTGTTCCTCTATCAACATTTGCGGTGGTTGCGTTCAGTTGTAGCATGGGCGTTCTAATAGACAGGTCTGAATTCCAGTGCACTTGCCCTCCATCCAACATTAGAGTTTTGAGGCAATAGGAAATTGATATCATGCTGACGCCGTTTAAACGCGATCCAGCCGAGACAAAGGTGACGTTTTTGGGGGTCTGTTCAAATGGGGTTGCCACTGCAGTATCTAGCCCCCCTGTTGTTGTTCCATCTTGGAAGTGATGCCTGCAAGACGTATGGACACCAACCAGGATTGGGTCATGTTCCAGTGCAGTAATGGTCAGAAGAGACTGCGCATACGTTTCGTACGTAACATGCCTCTCGAGCGTTTCTGATAAAGTTGGTTGATTATTCCCTTGTGCAACGACGTAACTCTGTTCAGAGCGACTGGACAAAATCACCAAGGTCCAATTGTTGCTGTCCTCTGAATGCCTTGGTGATATGGTGTACATTCTTCCCCATGCTGACATCGGCGGCATCATCTCTAGGACGATATCTTTCGTGGAGCCATACTGTTCTCTGGCACCGCTTATCACGGCAATGGGCCTGTCAGAATTGATAAAAGTTTGAGTTAAAGAGAACGCCTTACTGTGAATGTGAAATGTTTCATACTTGGACAGCCTGATTTCCAGCATACGGTGCCTTGTGAACTCGCTACCATTGTATAATACAAAAACACCCTCTACCTTTGGCATGGTGATTCGAACCCTGGTGTCGTTTTCCACTGCAATGATGATGATTTCCGAATGCTGGGAATAATCATCACTGTGCCGTGAGTCAATGGAGCACAAGGCGACGTATTCTTGGCCTAATACATCAACTGGAAGGGCAAGGTATCCGCCGGAGAAACCGGGTCCTTCTTCGAGTCCAAATACTGCAATATCACGGGAACTTTCAACTAATATGCTGTCTGTTGCAAAACCGGTCGCGTTCGACTTGAAAAGCGCTCTTGGCATGCTCACCGTAGTCTCTTTGCCTTTCTGGACACTGACTGATACTGGTGGATAGTCAGGGTGCAATGGGGTGGACACTCGGACATCAGCAGGGGTGTCACTATAACTTGTCATCTTTAACATCAAACGCACATCTTTTTTATCGTCCGTGCAAGTGAAAGACGACAGTAGTGCGTTTCCAAAGAATGACAGGACGAAGCGTTTACCCATGTTGTCTCTCTTCCCTGAAAGAGTGGTTGAACGGTAACAAGAATCGTGCTTTTGCAATGATAGAGGCATAAATTGTTTACGATATCTTTTATAACTAATAGTAACTAATATAGTAACCACTGCAACTAGTAGTATTTCACTTATGTACTTGATATAAGAAAAACAATGCACCACGCGCGATTCATGTTAGACATGTTCGCCAACACAGACTTGTGAAGGCATGCACGCACACACGTCTACGCTAGCGCATGATGCTTCCGCACCACGCGTTCACAGCCACTCACACAACTGCCTCACACATTATAACTGCTTGCGCGCGCGCGCGTGCGTGTGGATGTGTACTGCTGCATTATATTGTATTGTATCACTGGTAATCGATCTAACCAACATCTTCACGTTAATGCACGAACCTTCACTGGCCGCTGCTGTTCGGCTTGCTGGCTCACACGTGCAGTACACATAGGCCCTGTCATCTCCACTGTTGGTGCAGTTACCGTTACCGTCACAAAGGCAATGGCAAGGTGCTGAAATATTAAAGAAAATATACAAAGAAAACATTCTAAGATATAAAAATAAAAAACAACAATAGAACCATGCATTCAAAAATAAAAGTACCCGAGAAGGCACTGAAAACTGGCAATAGAAATGATCCCAAATTTATTGTCTTTAAACCTTTGTATTGGCTAGATCTGAAAAGCAAGTACCGGTACATCTAATTTTGCTGCATCTTCTTACTCATAATGCATGTCAATGTTGCGTGCATTCATTGTGAGAAACAAAATTGTATCATTTTTCAGATTCATCAAAAACTATGAAATATGGATCTACTTACAGCACTCGAAATTCCTCTCATACCAACCAGGTTTGCATTTGCACACTGTCCCAAAAGGCTCGTCAAGGACACAATGGCTGCCATATACGTAACTTGCGCAATCCAGGTCATGATTGCAATCCATTCCCAGCACTGAACGAGATGACAAAACAATTCAACATGAGGAAAATCAAATTAAATGATAACCAATATAATCATTTTTAATACCGTGCTAGTAGCTGTACACAACATGGTTTATTTTTAGCAAAATGATGGCCGACCTTTAGACAGTTAAACGACAAAGACTTAATACCAAATATACCATTTCCAAAGATGAATCTCAAATGTCATTTAAGTTACTGCCATAGAAAGTAGTGTATCGAAGGGAGTGCGGATTATATTCCCCATATAGAACAACACATCAACATACGGCAATGACACTGTAGAAGATACTATAGAGTAATATAAAACCACTGACGTAACATTCCAAGTATTTATATTGAAATATTATATAAATATTATGATATCATATTAATATTTAATTTATTCATAAAAAAATTATATGGCAATATTTATTTAGAGAAAATATAAAAAAACAGCTACAGTTGTTCATTGTATTTCAGTCGTGTTTGTACAAGATTTGACAAGGTTGAAAACGTTAACAGATATATTGAATAATAAAGAGAGTCTACCTTTCTCACAGTTACCCATATGATCCGGTGCAAACCCAGGTTTACACTCACACCTCCCTCTCCTACACACACTGTTGATATCAGAACCCGAGCATATGCAAAATTTTGATGGATCGATTTCTTCATCAAATGCTGAAAAAAAAGAGACCATACACGCTTTCCATTTCACAACGACAGTGTTCCTTACAATCTACAGGTAAATTGGTGACAGTTATAATAGCAATCAAATTGAATTCTTTAGCAACAATGAATTGTTTTGCTGATTAAAGAACCTCCGAGTTTCAGGCCCGTTTTTTTTAAACAAACCAGAGATTGCTTTGGTAATCGCTGATAGT